CCCTCCCGTCCCTGGTAATTAACAAAGGAAATTTCCTTTTATGTATAAACCTTTTCTTGACTTTTTATAACAGTGGACTAATACAAGATTTGTCCTTCTATGATTTACTCATTTCACTCAGCATATTGTCCTCCAAGTTCATCCATGTTATATGGTGTTTTGCAAATTTTACATTATCCTTTAAGGTTGTATAGTATTCCATTGTGTGTATTTACCACAGTTTGTTTATCCATTCCTCTGTTGATGGGCACTTAGGTTTTTTTCCATGTCTTTGCTGCTGTGGATAGTGCTGTGATGAACATGGTGTACATATATCTATTCACGTCCTGTCTCTCATTTCTTTAGGATATATACCTAGTAATGAGATTGCTGGATCAAATGGTATTTCTATTTCCACCTTTTTAAGGAATTGCCACACCTGTTTCCACAGTGGTTGTAACATTTTACAGTCCCACCAGCAGTGTAAGAGAGTCCCAGTCTCTCCACATCCTTGCCAGCATTTGTTATTTTCTGTCTTGTACTTTGCTATTAATGCTGGGGTGAGATGGTATCTCATGGTTGTTTTGATTTGTATCTCTCTAATGGCTAATGATCACTAACATTTCTTCACATGTTTGCCACCTGAATATCTTCTTTGGTGAAGTGTCTGTTAATGTCTTCTGCCCATTTTTTAGTTGGATTGTTTGTCTTTTTGATGTTGAGGTGTTGGAGTTTTCTGTAAATTTCAGGAAAAGTCCCTTGTCAGATATGTCATTGCCAAATATTTTTCCCAATCTATAGGTTCTCTTTTGACTCTTTTGGAGAAGTCTTTGGAAGCATATCACAATTTAATTTTTAGAAGGTGCCATTCATTTAGTTTATCTTCTGCTGTTTGTGCATTTTAGGTTATGCCTGACAGTCTATTTGTGCCATAAATTACCAAACCAAACCAAACTCACTGCCGTCGAGTCGGATCTGACTTACAGCGAACCCTCCTTGGGTTTCCGAGGCAGTATCACTATGGAAGTAGATTGCCCACCCTTCCTTCCAAAGAGTGGCTGATGGGTTGAGCTGCCAGCCTTCTGGTTAGCAGTCAAATGCTTTAGGCATTATGTCACCAGAGCTCCCATGCCATAAATTAGGGCCCCTAAATTTGCCCCTAGTTTTTTCTTGAGGAACTTTATACTTTTAAGTTGTACACTTAAGTTTTTGATCCATCTGGAGTTACTATTTATGTATGGTATGAGATATGGATCTTGCTTCATTTTTCTGCAAATGAATATCCAGTTTTCCCAGCACCATTTGTTAAAGAGACCATCTCTTGCCATGTAACGGATTTCAGCCCTTTGTCAAAAATCAGCTGACTCTAGGTCAATGGATCTTTTTCTGGGTTCTCAATTCTGTTCCACTGGTCTGTGTGTCTGTTGTACCAATACCAGACTGTTTTGACTACTGTGGCTGTATAATAGGTTTTGAGATCTGGAAGTGTGAGACCTCCTACTTTGTTCTTCTTTTTCAAAAGTGCTTTGCTTATCTGAGGTCTCTTTCCTTTCCAGGTAAAATTAGTGATAGGTTTTTCCATATTCTTCAAGAATAGTGGTGGGATCTGGATTGGGATTGCACTGAATGTATCAATACCTTTGGGTAGAATTGACATTTTCACAGTGCTTAATCTTCCTATCCATGAGCATGGTATGTTCTTCCATTTATGTAGTTCTCTTCTTGTTTCTTGAAGTAGTGTTTTGTAGTTTTCTTTGTACAGGTCTTTTGTATTGCTAGTGAGATTGATTCCCAAGTATATTATTTTTTGGGTAACTATTGTAAATGGTATTGATTTCCTTATTTGTTTTTCAACAGTCTCTTTGCTGGTGTAGAAGAATTCAACTGATTTTTGTATGTTGATCTTGTATCCTGCCACTATGCTAAATCTCTCAATTAGTTCCAGTAGACTTTTGTTGAATCTCTTGGGTTTTCTATGTATAGGATCATATCATCAGCAAATAGGGATAGTTTTACTTCTTCTTTACCAATTTGGATGCCTTTGATTTCCCTTTCTTGCCTTATTGCCCTGTCTAGGACTTCCAATACAATGTTGAATCTTTCTTCTTTTTGATGTGTGCATCTATTGCTATAAATTGGCATCTGATCACTGCTTTTGTTGTGTCCCAAAGATTTTGGTAAGTTGTGTTTTCATTCTCATTTGATTTAAGGGATTTTAAAATTTCTTCTCTTTCCCAGTTTTTGAGGGGAGTGTTATTCAGTTTCCATGCATTTGCTCTTTTTCCATTTGTCTTCCTAGTGTTGATTTCTAATTTTATAGCATTGTGATCTGAGAAGATGCTTTGCAGTATTTCAGTGTTTTTAAATTTAATGAGGCTTCATTTGTGGCCTAACATGTTGCCTATCCTGGAGAATATTCCATGTGTGCTGGGAAAGAATGTATATTGTGCTGTTGTTGGGTGAAGTGCTCTGTAGATGTCTGTAAAGTCAAATAACCATAATAAATATTTATGCACCCAATGAAAGAGTGAGCCCCCCACATATATAAATCAGACTTTAACAGAGTTGAAAAGACAAATAGATGACTCCACAGTATTGGTAGGAGACTTTAATATACCACTTTTAATAAGAGAGAGAACAATTGGAAAGAAACTTAAAAAAGATGCAGAAGAACTAAACAATATGATCAACCAACTTGACCTTATAGACATCTACAGAGCACACCACCCAGCAAGAGCAGGGTTTATTGTTTCCTTAAGTATTTTGCTGGTTACTCCCCCCGCCCCCTGCTCCAATTTTTTCTGTTGTAGCTGTGATTTCTTGTGGCCCATTTTCCCTGTCTCTTTCTACTTGACCTTTTAAGAAGTAAAGTCTAGGTGTATTTCAAGGGGTCTTGCACAATTTTGTCTTTTTGGACACCTTTCTGGTGGTGTTTCCTTTTTCTTCTCTGTATCTGCATTTTTAAAAGCGTAGTAGGTGGACTTTTGGCAGTTAGTAGTGGGAAGGTTGAGCTGAAAACATCCAGTTAGCTGGAGAGACCTTTGGGTGTTGCTACCTTTACAACAGGGAGAAGGTTCCTTCAGTGATTGGGGCATCTCCGTAATCCATAACGCACGTGCTTGGTAGTGCATCTGTAGCTTCAGTTCAGCTGAAACTGTTCCAAGAGGGATGTTTTTTAAAAATAATAATGCCTTTCTCTTTTGAAATTCAAAGTCCTACATACTGAGCTCAGTTCATACTAATCTTGGTTGTGCTTGGTCTGATACCTTTTTTTCAAAGTTCAACCTGTAAGATATTTGCCATGCAAATTGGTTCCTGTGTGGCTGCTGCTTCTCAGCCTTCAGCATGTATTTTGATCTGCATGTTATGCTACTTGCTGCCTTTATTTCTTTCCAGAGTAACCAACGGGTTGACCTTTATAAGTGGAAAGACGGCAGTGGGGAAGTTGGCACAACCTTACAAGGCCATACTCGTGTCATCAGGTAGGCACCAGCCCTCCACAGCTCCTTGGCCTGTCATTTGTCATTGTTCCTCCAGATTAGAGAGAGCACTGCTGGAGATCTCTGTTCAGTGATCCCCAGAGCTTGTGGTACACACTATCATGTTGTCCCAGTCCCCTGGAGGCAAAATTAAGATACCACCTGCCCATAGCTTTAGTGTGCTTCTCTGTGTGGCTGGTAGGTTGTTGGCATTCATCGAGTAGTGACTTTCGTAGTGAAGAACATCCAGTTTGGATGAATCACCATCTGTTTGCCTGTTAACCCCAGTCCCAGAAGACACTTAGATAAAACCCAATCCAGAGTAAAGGATTAGAGGTGATTTTTGCTGCAAGAGGGAGAGGAAGTTATGCCAACAGAATGCCACTCTCCATAGTCAGTAGTGCCCAGAAGTACTCCAGACATCGCAGAGCAGACCTGTACTCTTTCTCCAGCAGCTGTGGGGTGGCGTGTAGAGCTCCCGCATTAGTTGCGATCCAGATGCAGACTTGCCTGCCACTTGTGCTCTTCCAGTTGACTTCTGGAGTTCCTTGATCCACTCTTTCCCTGGGTCACAGTTTCAGGATAGGGAATCCTTATTTTTAGGAGGAACGGCAGGGAGTGCAAGGGTGGTAAAGCTGACCTGTAAAGAGAGAGGATGCATCAGACTCCCTGGCTTGTGCTAAATGTTCTGTGTGGTAACTGCTTTTCTAGCAATGAGGCTAAGAGTAGGGAGCACCAGAGGCTTGCTTGCCATCCATGAGAGTGCTGGCAACCCAGCGGTTTGCCATAGCTGAAAGAGGCGTGGGGTTTTCTCAAGGCATCTGTGGTTATGTCTAGTTTAGAAAATGGTAGCTCAGAGATTATTTTGTATGTTTTTCTTTTCTTTTGTCTGTTGACTCTCTCACTTTCTTTTTCTCTCTCTCTCTCTCTCTCTCTCTCTGTGTGAGGAAGGGAAATGCTCCATTTCTTTTTTTGGAACAGGCAATAATATAGCTGGAGACTACAGGGGGAGAGACTTGAGAGGTTCCTTTGGGGATCACTTAAGTCTTGTTTGTTCCCATAGAGACTCCCAGCCTAAACTGTGTTAAGAGACCCATTAACAGTGAGTTTCTGAAGCCACTAGAGACTAAATTTTTTAGTGCTTTGGAACCTGATTCTGTTCTTATTTTTATTTTCTCTTGTTTTCTTTATTTCTTATGTTCCTAGTGATTTGGACTGGGCAGTATTTGAGCCAGATCTCCTGGTTACCAGCTCTGTGGACACTTACATCTACATTTGGGATATCAAGTAAGGACAATTAAGAGACACAACCGCGTGGTTGTGGGACTTTTTGGGACCTTTGTTTTAATGGTCAGGAATCTTAGTTTGCAAACCCTGTGACAAAAATTTGAGCAAATACTTTATTTAGGAGGTGAAAGAAATGCTGGAAGAGGAAGGAGAGAGACAGATTTGGGAAGGCTGCAAATAAAGGGCATGTGATCAGCTGGGTACCATACTGAACAGCTAGAGTTTAATTGGGCTAGGGAACACTAGGTGCTAGTGTAAAACTTTTCAAAGTTGCCTAAGGAAGTGTATATACTGTCAGTCATTGGTTTAAGGAGGCCTCTGGAGGCCTCAATTCTCTGGCACTTTAGGTCTTTCACAAAGATTTGCAAAGCGGATTTCAGCAGCCAGCAAAATCCTTTTGGCAAAGAAACACAGGTGCTCACATTTGTAAGTTGGACTGGTAATTACTGAAGTGGTAAGTGAGGTGGGGAATTTTGATGGGGTGCAGACACACCTGTTCCAGCAGGCAGTGTGAAGAGACCCATCTGCTCAGCTCTGAACTTGCTTTTCTAAGACTTCATTCCCCAT